TTTTGGCCGGCATGTTCCTCCATCTCTCTGCGTATTTAAAAGATGTCATCAGCTTTGTCTTTGCGGCACTGTTTTCTGTTTTCTTTTTATAACGTTTTGTATTCTTTGAATCACAGCGAACGCTATACTTATCATTTAAGAAATAGTGGGCCTGGTTCCGGAGTCCAGACCTTAACCCGATCGAAAATGTGTGGACAGAGTTGACAAATAAATTAGATGAAAGAAACTTTAGGCCACGGAATAGAATTAAACTATGGGAAGTAATTAAGCAGGCGTGGGAGGTATCTGTAACAACAGATACCCCAGTAAAAACGTACCTTAACGAGGTGGGAGCCAGCGAAGCAGGCGAAATTTTGTGACGATTTATTGTATTATAATGAATTATGATATAATCATAAATAACTGAATAAATAGTCTGCATAAATAGGTAACCTTTACGGGATTATAGTGCAAATGACGGATTTGATCATCTTTTATAATGAAACATATCTTAATGGATCCCGTTAACCAACAAATATATTTTTTTCATAATGTCGAACAAAATATTCTTCTTCATATTGATAGTACAATAAACGGCATGTAAAGATTTACATCAAAAATTACGATCTGAAATGTAAATAATCACCATCTTTCTCCCATTTGCCTAAAACCCCCGAAGCAAAACCACACCACGAACAACAAAAACAATTGATAAACACCGCGATAAATCCCGACTTTCAGCGACCATTCGAGATCCGCCCTTTCGTCGTTCCGGACTCCCTTTTTGTCTTTGATTCACCTGCCCCTCCGATTTTTTTTATTTTTCAGTCGTTCATCGAAAATACGGAAAAAAAAAGATGGGGGATGGGAATGAGCCATGTATCATTGCTCCCCACTGTGTAAATGTCACGTGGACTGCCCGAAAAATGTACGTTGTGCTGCCGGTGCCTTTATGGTCGTTTTGTATGGAATTTAATTGATGTTTTTTTTATCGTAGACATCACAGGGATTTTATGCAGGACAAATAAGCACACATAGGGAAGTTTAATACATGGACAACTTGGTACATTTAGAGAATCCAGGGGTACGTTCTGTAAACAGAATAAATTAGGGACAATATGCCGCATTCATGCCAATTCATTTCGCAGATAGCACAAATATTGGTGACGCTAAGACTACGCATATAGGAGAAACATGTACTAAGATCTAAATATAAAGGAAAGTATTACAATAAAAAGAAGAGTGAGGATTATGTTTTCATAGACGATTGAACCATAAAAAGGAGTGATCGTGTATAATATTAAATATTATTTATAATTGATATAATTTATAAACACGCTCTTAAAAAATCGACATCTAATATTGAACTAATCGGTTGAATATTTGTATGCGATTAAAAAATAATGGAAATGTTAATATGCAAAAAACACTAACTGACAGCAAACAAATTATGGATGTAAATAAAAAGTGGTATAATATAAAAAACACATTACTGAAACCAGCTCAAGAAAGTTTGATACAACATATGTCAGAGGCTAGAAAACAGTGGATGACAGAAGAAATACTATTACAGATGGAAGAAAGAAGGAAATATTAAGGAAACGATCTACAGAAGTATAAATAAATACAACGAATAATTAAGGAAACAATCAAAACAGCTAAGGAAATCAATTTGATGAAACAATGTAAAGAGATAGAAAAACTAGAGACAAAATATGATATGAGAAATACGCACAAAAAAATAAGAGAAGTGACTGGAATGGGTCGAAATAGACAGCAAGGACACATAAAAGACAAAAATACTACATAATACAGTAATAATGCAGTAATACAACAGAATATACGAAAGACTAGAGGAGGATATTAGCGAGACGCAGTTCGGGTTCCGAAATGGAATGGGTACTCAAAAAGGACTATTTGCCATCAACATATTGATTCAGCGATGTCTGGATGTAAACGTTGATCTACACTTGTACTTTGTTGACTACGAAAAAGCTTTCGATAAAGTAAGACATGAAAAACTAATATCAATACTTTTATGAACATTATATTAGAACCACAGTGCCATAGTTGAAATTAATGGGCAACACTGATGATTTGTTTAGAGCAGCAAGTTCAAAGATTAAATAGCCATTATGATTGCCAACCTCCGTAGGGAGACGGCATTCTAAGAAGAGTAAACAAAAAAAAATACGATTTTCTCTTAGTTTTTAAATGTACAACCTTATATTTTATTTTTTCAGAATATTCCGTTTATAATACTTTTATATTTTTATGAAGCATTTTCTATAACTAAACTAAACTTTCTGAAATATTTTTAGTTTTAAAAGAAACAGTTAAGATTTGATGTCACGTATAGTGCCTCTGTATATTCGTTTATAGGTATTTCATCCTACGATAACTCATCACCGATATTTACAGAAGCTCTGAACGTGACAACAATCTTTCCCGTCGATAAGAAGCAACAATAAAATGCCTTGATTGTAAACGCTACAGCGACATCTGATAATAAATCACGAAAGTAGAAATCCAAAGATTTTTATTGACGAAATCCAGATGTTTGCTTTAATCAGTGCCTTTTAAGACTTGTAAAGCAATACAGACGATGATAAAGATGTAAAGAGAGATAATGGTGAATCTAAAAATTGCATTCCACAACATATTTCCTCATCTATTTAAAAGTCCTTGGCGAATTGGTTTCTTGTACTCATAAAGAGTATACTGATTCGATATACTATACCAATCACTATTCCATTTTTGTGAAATGGAGCCTCATCTCCAAAAAGCAATCTCCTCATGTTGTTGCAGTTTCGCATTTGTGTCTAAACATTTGTAAATTATTAAAATACTTTTATTTAATTATATATTATTTATTCTCCCCGTATATTTAGCCAAGATCCATGTATAAAAACACAGCTATTAAACATCGAACATTACAAGACCAGCCATCTGTAAAATGACACAGACGTGTATTTGAAACAAAAGACGAGTCCCATAAGCCAAATGGGACAGACGAGTTTTATCACCCAAAAGACACAGTTTGTTCATTTTACCACGGATTTATTATATTTGAACGTATGTATGTTTGTCTTTGGCTTTTATTTGATTCTAAATAGAGTTTGTATAGTCTACTCGTTTATTATTTGTCTATGAGAATACATACCTCGGAAGCGGAATGCGAAAGGAAGAATCCAGCCGGTTCTAGATTGAACATAATATATTCTCTCTCCTTTCTGATGCTCCCAGTTCTTATATAGGGGTCTTCGTCTGTGCACAACGCAACACATGTTATATTCAACAAGTTCCTCCCACGCCTGCTTAATTACTTCCCATAGTTTAATTCTATTCCGTGGTCTAAAGTTTCTTTCATCTAATTTATTTGTCAACTCTGTCCACACATTTTCGATCGGGTTAAGGTCTGGACTCCGGAACCAGGCCCACTATTTCTTAAATGATAAGTATAGCGTTCGCTGTGATTCAAAGAATACAAAACGTTATAAAAAGAAAACAGAAAACAGTGCCGCAAAGACAAAGCTGATGACATCTTTTAAATACGCAGAGAGATGGAGGAACATGCCGGCCAAAATGAACAAAGGGATTTATTTCAGAAGATCAAACTCCTTACCTGAGACAACTCAAGATCAATCGGACGATCACCAACTAGATGGTCCGACTAAATTATATAATCCTAAGCTATAAGAATAACTAAGCTATAAACTCATTCTGCGAAGATCTCAGAGCAGCTGAAGATAGAGACCAAAGGTCCAATGGACCAATGATATCTAATATCGCTCGCCAAGATAAGAGGTATTTTTACCTTTTGAGTGAGAAAAAAGGATTTAACCAGGTTTAACTTTTCTAAATATGTTTCCTTTTTCCTTTTTAAAGGATCTAAATATGTTTCCTTTTTCCTTCTTATAAAACAGAAACCACAAGAAATATTTATGTTTTCAATATTGTGTGTTAAATTTATTATTATTTCTTGCCGTAGTCGTCTTTATAGTATCAATCCGGTTCCGAGGCTGTATATTGTTTCTTTGAGCAGTATTTGTTTTTACGATTCATCATCATCATTGGCTCCACAATCCATGGTGGGTCTTGGCCTGCTCAAGGATAAGTCTCTATTCTCTCCTATTCTTCGCTTGGCTTTCCAGTTTCGTACTCCCAACATTCTCAGGTCTTCCTCCACCTGATCCTTAATCGTGCTCTGGGTCTGCCTCTCCTTCTCACTCCATTTATTCTTTGGTTATAAATATGTTTTGGCGGCTTCATCTCATCCATTCTCTTTAAATATATGACCTAAATATACAGACTGCTATACAGACGACGCAACATCACTCTCTCAAAGTGAAGATGACTTACAACGTATGCTGCACCAATTTAATATAACCACCAGAAAATTTAACATGTTAATTTCCCCAAAAAAGACAAAATGCATGGTTACAACAGCAAATTTACTAAGATGTAAGTTGGAGCTGGAAGGTCAAATAATGTGATCTAGGCATCACATTAGCTACTGAAAGCTCGAAACCGAAGTGGAAGATCAAGTAAAATATCAGGAAAGAAACGAAAGGCAAAATTTACAAAACGGTCATCAGACCAATAATGACATACGCGGCAGAAACAAGACCTGACACAGAGAGGACAAAAATGGTGTTAGAAACAGCAGAGATGAAAATACTTAGAAAAATTGATGGTAAGACACTATGGGACAGAGCTAGAAGTACAGATATACGACGTAGATGCAAGGTGGAGAACATCAAGAACTGGGTAAGAAATAGAAGAGTAGAATGGAACGATCATATAAGCCGAATGGCAACAATTACAGTAGTAAAGACGGCAAGAGACGGTTCCCTAATAGGAAGACGAAGAGGCACATTGAAAAACAGACAGAGTCACGTCTATATAGAACGAAGAAGAAGAAGAAATTTAATTTATCATTCTTCAGAAAAATATTTATTCCCTTAAGTTGTTCTTTGTGAAACCTGCCAATGAAATTGACGTTAGTAGAAATTTAAAACATGTTTGAACGTGGTAAAGGCGGCAAAGTAAAGGGAAAAACAAAATCCCGATCAGATCATTCTGGTATACAGTTTCCGATTGTTGATATTCATCGTTTATTGAGGAAAGTAAATTATGCTGAAGGAGATCGTGTATACTTGGGAGCTGTCATGGAATGTCTAGATGCTGAAGTTTTTAAATTGGCGGGAAAACTCAGCGAGAGATAACAAGAAGTCCCGTATAGTTCCAAGTCATTTACTGTCGGCTATAAGCAATGACGAGGAATGAAACAAGTTGCTTTCGTGGGGTTGAAGGTGGAGTATTGCCCAATATACAGGCAGTATTATTACCTAAGAATACCGGAAAGAAAGCTTAAAAGCTATACTATTATCCCTTTTTGTATAAAGTAAAATATACTTTGTTATAATATATCTTTACTTTGAAAAAATATCAGTTGACTCCATAACTTTCTAGCAGAAAACAAGAATAAGAATATTATCCGTCTGAAATAACCAAACTGCAATTGCGAACATTAGTAGATAAAATAAATATCGTACGCTTAGTCAACCTTGTAAAAATATCACATTTGTAATTATATTCTTTGAACATCTTGTTTCTCCTTCAATTACGATATCTCGTACTTTTTCTGCTACTATAAATTCATTGAAATACAAAAAAAACCACATCTGGTATCCAAATGGCAAGCTCAAATTCGCGTGACGAATGTCTCGAGAGCTAGGAGATCACGAGAATTGATCATCAAACCTTTTCCGTCTTTCATCTCTGATATATGCGAATGGATAACTTCTAACGTAACAATGCTCTCTACTCCACACGCCGTGCGGAGGAATGGTGGACGCTTGAATGGACCTGATAACTCGTCTTTGTGTGTGAATCCGACGGCGCTGTAATACTTTCCTACACCTGTTACCATTTCGAGCACCGTTGTCATATTTAACAAAATTCCTAAGAAGTGCTGAATATTTTTTCTAGCTTGCTGACTGCTACTGTGAGACCAAAGAAATAGTATATATAACTAAATATTAAAGTTATTCAAGAGTAATGACATAGCTTTCCTGGAAAGTTGATTCTTTAATCATAGATAATTATATATCGTTTCATTTTGTGCTTTTAAGTAGCTAATAAGTAATCTACACACAATTTATGATGACATTATTTAGCAAATACTTCAAAGTTCACTGAAGATGACGTATTGTGAAAATTTTTATATAATGTTTTATTATACATACACCAATTACATTATAAGTTTTTATTTCATTTACTTCAAGAAGCAGACAAGTGCTGTGAAAACAAAAAAAAAGCAATGGTAGTTTGAATTTCCAAAAGATCTAAAAGAGACTCAAAAAATGTGTCTCACAAGTAAAGGTGAAGAAATATTAGGGATATATAAGAGAGAAATTTTAAGAATAATTAGGGGACCAATAATAACGCAAAATGGAGAATTGAGGAGACAAGGGAAAGAAAGAATTGCGACAACTGTGAACTACTGGATAAAATATCGTTTCGCTGGAATACAAACACACTGAATGGGGTAGAAACAGTGAGAATCATCAAAATCCATCGAAGTATTGAAAACAAGAAACTCAATAGAACTGCTTAAGTAGAAATAGAGAAAAATGGAATAGAATGCCGAGTGAGTTACCGCAATAAACGAATCAGAAGAGCTCTACGAGATACAAGTCACCATTCATCTAGGAATGAGTATACTTAATGATAATTGGTTAATGAAAAAACTGTGTTAAAACAAATTCCTAGTTTTGCTCATAATCTATTATAAACAACTATACGTTAACAATTCAGAGCGATGTTACCAACAGTTCCAGCGCCATAGGCAGGAATTTTGGCATCATTGTGAGCCAATAAATGGGACATAAATACATTACTTCACTCCAAACTCATACTTTTAGCTGACAAGTGTAATCTATCATATACTACAAAAACACTAGGATTACTAGGGAACTGTACAGAATCAATATACTTGGGGGTAAAATTGGACCGTACTCTCACATTTAAAGGCCATTGCGAAGACACAAAGGCAAATATTTTCTCAGGAAATAATATAATACGGAAGCTAACTGGAATAAGTTAAGAGCTCAGCCAAGTAACCTAATAACATCAGGTATAACTTTTTGTTTCTCTACAGTAGAATATTCAGCTCCAGTTCGAAATCGCTCTGGTCCGACGTTGACGACGCCATAAACCAGACGACCCGAATAATATCTAGGTGCTTGAAACCTACTCCAGTTCATCACTTATACCCGATGATCTGAATTACTCCTCCAAACATCAGAAGGGAAATTATTTCTGAGGCCTAGAAGAAGAAACAAGATTGAAATTCCATAGGAACTTCATAAGTACCACGCCTCCTATCAAAATTAACAGTAAACGACGTCGCCTACAGCTTTGGAGAGAAGTGTTGGTTGCTGGTGCTTTTAAACGAAGAGATATTTTCAGGCCATCAATTATCCTACACCACATGGAGGTCCGATATAGGTTATAGACCTATATCGTTGCTCAGTCAAGTATACAAACTATTTATGAGAATTATTAACAACCGGTTAACCTACAAAATGGACAGTTACCAGTTAATACCAACTACCCGTATTTCTTGCCTTCGTCGACTATGACAAGGCGTTGATAGTATCGAGATGTGGGCCATAGAACAAGCTATTAATAATTGTAGAATAGATTCGAGATATAGGCAACTAATACATAATATATATAAAAATGCAACTATGATAGTACAACTAGACGAAAATACAAATCCCATCCCCATTAAGAGAGGAGTGAGACAAGGAGACGGAATATCGCCAAAGTTTTTCAACCTAGCCCTAGAAGACGTCTTCAAAACTACAAATTGGTCAACCTATGGCATTAACGTTAGTGGCAACACGTTAAACCACCTCAGATTCGCTGACGACATAGTGATTATAGCGAGCACATTCGAGGAACTGCAAATTATGATGGGGCAACTAGCAGCCAGCTCCAATACGTCGCCTAAAAATGAATATGAAAAAAACAAAAATAATGACAAACACAGATGACCCAGACTATAACTAAGCAGTGAGTAGAACAATCAGAATATATCACTACTAGGCCAAATCTGAGACTTGACAAAGAGAACAAGTGCGGAAATTACTAGAAGAGCAAGACTAGCATGGGCAGGATTAGGAAAACTTAGTTGGATACTTAAGAACCGCAAAATACCCCAATACTTGAGGAGCAAAGTGTTCAACCAATGCATCCTTCCTATCATGACATATAGATGTCAAATCTGGACCCTAACCAAGGCAAATATCAATAAACTAGCCACAACAGAAAGAACAATGAAAAGAGCAATGTTAGGTATACGACTGTCAGATAAAAAGAGGAACGACTGGGTAAGATCCAAAACAAAAGTCGAGGACATAGCAACAAAAATTGCCAAACTTAAATGGAGCTTCGCGGGCCACACTGCTAGACAAAAAGACCAACGTTGGAATACTACAATACAACATTGGAAACCTTACGAAAGTAAACGACCAAGAGGAAGACCACAGATGAGATGAGTTGATGACATTAAAAGAATAGCCGGATCAAATTGGAAATATGTTGCTCAGGATAGAGACCGATGGAAGGAGTTGGGAGAGGCCTATGTCCAAACATGGACGACAGAAGGCTAAGAAGAAGAAGAACTGAAGAAGAAGACATGGAGGTCTCTTAATAGACTCGAACCGACATGTCACGTTGTAGGTCAAATATTAACAGATGAGGCTGTATAGAAGATGACAAGTGAGACTTCGGTGAATTGCAAAATCCCGAACATCTATTGGTTTTGACGGACTTGACTCAGTCATATACTTAAACGTTATATGGACACGAATAATAATCATTTCACGCACGTATTTGTAAACGTGTTTTTACTATATCAATTGAGGAAACCAGAATCTATTTTCATGAGTGAATTGCTACAACTATATTACGAAAATTGGCAACGTAGCTGTAGTACGTTGGTTGCACTCCTCTAATAATTAAGAATGACGAGAGTTCCATTGTATTCTAAAATAGACTAGGATGGTTCAAATTAGTAACACATTGTGTAGATTTTTTCGAGATTTGCCGTAGACTATTTAAATTTATTTGATGTATCAACGGACTTAATGAGCAGGCCTGGTCGCTGATGTATGTTTATTCACGGTTAGAGTGACAACGTGAATTAAATGAGGTTATTTAATTTTATATACGTACCTAATTTTCTTTTTTATTCGCTCGTTTGGGACCGTAGTAAATTTCTATGAAGGTAAAACTGTTTCTTTTTCCATGTTCATTATGTCAACGTTGGAAACAAAAAAGCTTATACGATATTTAACTTTAAAAAAATATGTTTTCCTTTTCTATACAGGGCGACAATTTGAAAACTTCCCCTTGTTAATATCTTGACTCTCATAAAAATTGTGAAATTTTGTTATTTTCATTTATTATTAGGTATATGTTGTTTTTGTAAATCTTATCGATAGGACTTAGTCTCCACAATAATGTCTTGAAAGTTGCCATTCGGGTTTTAACACTCTCGTACTTGATTTCACAATCAGATTTATCTTCTAAATTCAAGGTATGGTGATTAGTTTAAGTTCCTCTTGTATCAAAGGTAAAGGTAAAGATACGTGACGTGACCTTTAACACATAACTGAAAGCAGTGATGACAGTAGAGCAGCTTTAAATAATCAAAATATCTTACAATTAACAGATCTGTGGTCTCTGAAATACTCCACATGGAGGTTTAAGGGTTTAGCCAAAAATGTAACAACTTTTAACAATTTATTGTATTGTTAATTCAGGTTTACTTATTAGTTTTAACTTTGGAACGATATTGCCTTTTTCAACCGACGTTTTCTCTGGTTCTTGATTATCAGCCATCTTTTTTTCTTCAATTATTTGTATCACATAGTAAAGACTTGGACTCTGAGACAATCGGAGAGAAAAAAGATAGACGCCACCGAAATGTTCTGTTGGAGACGAATATTACGAATTCCTTGGACCGACCGTAGAACAAATAATTCAATTTTAAGAGAGCTAAAAGTTAGCCAACGACTCTCTAGTAAAGTGCATCTCCAACAATTAAAATATTTTGGGCATGTTATGAGAGCAAACACAGAAAACATGGAAAGACTCATAATACAAGGAAAGGTAGAAGGCCGAAGATCACGAGGAAGATCCCCAACAAGAT